ACAGGAAAATTCGTAAACTTAAGGAATCAGCACATATGCTAGGCCAAAAAAATCTCCTGAGCCGACCAAGCATAGAAATAAATACAATATGGGAACCAGTAATAAGGAGTGCCAGAGAAAAGCAATGATAACAAAGTTGCAATATGAACTCTGGTAAAGACATGCAATGATAACAGCAAAATTGCAATATTAGCACTGGTAAAAAATGATGCTGAAAACATTAGGTTTATAATACTCAAAAGTTCATACCCAGATGTCCTCAAGGACACATGGCACAGTAGATAAAGGTGTTGGTTAGATCCAGTGACAGACCCAAAGAAGGTGAGTTCAATACTTGGTTAAGTCAGTGGAGAACTTTCAGAGGGAAATTAGCAGGAGATAACTGATAACTGACATCCATCAAACATGGCACGTGGAACTAGAACAATCTACCCCAGTGATCGAAATAAAGGGTTCAGTTCGAAATGCCAATCTCCTGAAGAAGGCCGGAGCGTACAACGGCCGAAACGTTGTGACAAATATGGCGACAAAGATGAGGACAATAGTCCGACTAATGTAAATACTGAATCATTAATTGTTTTGGATGGAAGATTATTGAACACACACAATTTTAAGCCTTCTGATAATTCAAACGTTCTATTCCTCTCCAACACACACCACACATCCGCAACACTACGATCTCCCCTCAATTTTTCACTATTTCAACTTTGCGAAATCTTGTTTTTATTTTGAACTTTTATCTTTCTTATGACCTATGGCAACGTTGACAATTTTTGACATTAGTAACCTCAAAAATACGGTGAGTCAAAAGGACGATTTTTCCATTGAAACCGATTTTTACGTTTATATATTGAATTAAAAATAAATTTCAAAACGAAACTTTTATATAACAGGGTTTCCCCGCAAAAAATGAATCATTTAACTATGAATATCTGAGTAACTATATGCTTCACAGGCAAACGGAGTTAAACAGATTATGTTGAACAAGATTTATTTATCAAAATTCAAACAAGATATTCAATATTTTATAACCGATTTCACAAAGCACCTCAAATGTTCAATATTGTGCACTACCTGGGACAAAATGTAAATCCTTAAAAAAAATTAGCTTATTTTAATATCAGTCAGTTATGTGCCATGCGTGATACACGCTTAGGCACATATACACACTTTCGATATACGACTGACGAGGTAGATTTTTTCCGGTAGACCAGTTGCCATCAAAATCTATAGAACCCGGTCTATCTTGCTATTTACCCATAGCTAGAGATGAAGAACACCTTTCCCAAGGGTATTAGCACGTAATGGATCTGACTGGAATTCGAACTCGACTCTCCAATTTCTCCACTGTGCCTCCTATTTTAATATATATAAATAAAAACCATAAATATGAAGAAAATTTATCTACTTTTTATATTTCTGAACAAAGGATATGAATAAAATGTATCTTATTTTTATATATGAAAAAAAAACATAAATATGAACAAAATATAAATTATTTTCATATTTCTAAATAAAAAAGTATAAATCATTAGAAAATTTTGCTTCTTTATATATTTTTGGATAAAAAGAAAAACATATTTTTTCTTTTTCTTCAGAAATATATAAAGAAGCTAAATGGAACTTATTTTCATATATCTAAATAAAAAAGCATAAATCTTTAAAAAAATTAGATTATTTTAATATTTCTAAATAAATAAAAAGGCTTATTCCATACAACATGTAAAATTTTTATATTTCTAAATAAAAAAAGAATAAATCCATTGAAAATTTAGCTCATTTGAATATTTTTAAAAAAAGAAGTACAAATCCTCAGAAAATGTAATGTCGAAATAAACAAACCTAAGTCTAAAGAAACTCTTACTTATTTCAGCATAATTCCTTACCTGATTTCTGCATGCGAATATTCTAAACACTCTACCATATTCCCTTTGTCTGTGTTTATATTCATAAAGATACATTTCTTTCCTTACCTGCATCATGACTCGGAGTTCCATACACAACGCAATCTTCAGGTGCTGAGTAGAGACTGACCGTTACATAATTTAAATTTTAATAAGAATATTTCTTTAATGCAATACTGACACAGTCTATATTTTATGCGGGGATTACTGGTTTGCATTTTGACAAAAAAACAAACATTAATATAGACGGGATTTATATTTTATATTTAAAATAAATGTGGATTGTTTTTTTTAAATTGTATTAAAACAAACGGAGTTTTAATAATTATCTATATTTTCTATCCCAACCGTTAATGAAATATGAAAACTCAACTTGGATTATTTCCTCTAAAAACCTTATTGTTTCTGACTCTTTTACATAAAATCGAGAGCGTCATTAAACGAATGAGATGGAAAGTTTTTTTTTCATTAAACGCAAGAATGAATACAACTACGTAAAGGAAGCCGAGAATTATGGATTTAAATCTTGAAAAACACCTGATGAACAGCAAATGGGTTTGAGAAGGATCTATTCTCGATAATCAACAAAATTAAATTTACTCACCTACCAACGAATAGCTAAAAATGCAAAAGGAGGTTTTAAAGATTAAGAAATTAAATAAAATAGTAATAGGAATTAACCCGTGTCATAATACAGCAGAAACCATAGAATGGTTTACTAATATAAAAAAAAAGAACAAATGCACGTTCATCCAGTTCGATATTTGTGATTTTTATCCATTCATCACTGAACATCTGCTCATATCTGCCATCAATTTAGCTAAAGATTACTGTCCTATTAGCGATATCGAGATTACAGTTATAAAGCAGGTGAAAAAACCAATGTTATATCATAATGATTGTCTGTGGACTAAAAGAAACAACACAGAATTTAATATTGCTATGGGTTCATTTGATTCTGCAGCGGTATGTGAGAAAGCTCTAAAAAAAAAGTGGTTTTAAAAATAAATTGTCTTACATAATCTTTATAATTAAGACAGAGATATCTGAGATAAAACGTAAACACAGAAAAGAAAAACTTATATGGTTCAACCCCATCCCACCTTCTGCAAACTGTTAAATATTAACATCGGACAGTATTTCCTAAAGTTAATCAATAAGCACTTCTAAAAGTAACCGTCTAAGAAAGATCTTCAATAGGAAAACGATTAAGATTAACTACTCTTGTACCAACAACATTTATAACATTAACTCACACAACAACCAAATTTTAGGAAAACTCTAGGAAATCAACAACAAACCAAGTATCGAACCCTCCCGTAGTTGTAGATCTAAAAATAATTGTCCAGTAGAGGGAAGATGCAAATCTACCAGGGTTATATATCAAAAGACCATTTCCCCCCAAAGAAAATATGGAAAATAAAACAGTTTACATTGGAATTTCCGAGGGAGAAGTGAAATAAGGGTTTTTATACCCATAAGCGCCCGTTCTCTAACCCTAAACTTAAACACCAAATAGTTCTTTCAAAAGAATTTTGTGAATTAAAGGACAAAAACTTAAACCCACAAATAGTTTGGAAAAGTGTAGACATATGCACAAACTCTCAACAGCTTCAGAAGTAGGTGTAACTCATGCTGAGAAGAAAAAATTAAAATAATAAATTACAATAATGAAAGCTAACTATTGAAACAGAGGAATGAATTAGTGTTCAAATGTCGACGTAAAAACAAATTCAAATTTCCATAATATAATTTCGACTTAAGTAGCTACTCTATATCATTCCCAACTCCCATCTAAATTTTCAAATGTTGACATAATAACAAATTCAAATTTCCATAGTGTAGCTTTTTAGCTAACTTAAGTCCCTCCCCAACTCCCACCTCCTCTAAAATCTTTTTATTCTATATTAATTATAATTTATAAACTTTCCTCTACTTAGAAATTTCCCCCAATTCTCTTTCCGACAACCTATATATATATATATATATATATATATTTTCCCACAATTATATATATATATTTTCCCCCAATTCTCTTTTCAGCCAACCTATATATATATATATATATATATATTAAGCAATATATGGACAAGACAGTAATGATAGTATGTTTCTGTTTACATGGAAGATTTCCAAGCAACGACCAACTCGTGCATATAAGACGCTGGAAGCGAAAATCGCACCGCAGTTCATGACGTCACACATGACCATTTCATCAACTATATAGTTTGGAAAGCTATTATTAATAAGTGTCTGTTTTATATTCTTTAGTTCACTGTAAAAAAATCTGTTTTGTGGATGAATTAGTTTCTGCACGATGTATTAGATTTTTTATAATTGCTATTTTGTAGTAATATGGGCATTCGCTCTTGTAGTTAAGTGTACATGAATTTATGCTGGTAGGTTTTTTGTATGGCGAAATAGTAAATTTGTTATTATTTGTGTTTATCAATATGTCAAGGAAGGGGATTTTATTATTCGTATTGAGTTCATATGTGAATTTAAGGACAGAATTATTTTGGAAACGTTTTTGAAGTTGAAGTATTTCATCTGTATTTTTAACTAACTTCCAGCGTCTTATATACACGAGTTTTTCGTTGCTTGAAATCTTCCATATATATATATATATATATATATATATATATATATATATATATATATATATATATATAATTTACCCGCTGTCCGAATAGATTTTGTATAATACTTAATGTAAATCATTTCGTATTTATTGTTAAAAAGGCTCTACAAAAAGAGATTTTTTCTTCTCAGTTCTTAACTTTCCTTGTTTACGTCCAATCGAACCTATGTCTGGACCCAAAGTGAACAGAAATAAGACAAGCTAATTAAAAAAATAATTCCTTGATTATAGCTTTTATCAAAATATACATATGATTGTTGTCTATATATAGACATAAGCACACATTGTTTAAAAGTATATATATTTAACTCTTGAAAATATATTTCACTTGAGTACTGTCGAACGACAAGCTAATTCTACAAACAACAGCCACCTGCGTTAATGGAAGCTCTTCAGTAAAATGAATGGAGCACTCCGGCTTATTGACATTTGCTTACATTCGTAAAAATCTTTACGCTAGATGAAAGAAAGAAAGAAAGAAAGAAAGAAAGAAATGACGGGCGGGAAAAGAAAGAAAGAAAGAAAGAAAGAAAGAAAGAAAAAGAAAGAAAAAGAAATGACGGGCGCGAAAGAAAGAAAGAAAGAAAGAAAGAAATGACGGGCGCGAATAAAGATAGCTCAGTGGTAGAAACTCTGACTGACAACAACATGGTTGGGTCTCAATCCTGGTTTGAGGTATTCGGATGTCTAGTCGCACTGAGGAACTTGGATACAGCGAAACAGTACTCTCTGCGACTGACATATATATATATATATATATATATATATATATATATATATATATATATATATATATATATACACTAAAAAAAACACGTTGGTGTGACCAACAGACAACTTGCCAGAGGACCTAACACCTTAGACAAGAAAAAATCCCGAACAACGAAAGAAAAAAGAATGAAAGATCCCCAAAGGCAAGCATCTACCTACTCAGTTAACTGCTTCTTCAGAATTCTTTCTGCATATACAGGGTGTATCAAAAATATAAACTTTGGGGGCAGGTTCCTCGCACCAAAACAAGAAGAAAAGTCCATATAAATATATGTCCGCAAATACTTTTTGAGTTATTAAGTTTAAAGACGGTATTAGGACTAGGTTACATTTGTCGTTTGTGTACATATGTGGCTACTCTGTCTTCAACCTTTAACGTGTGTAGTAGCGAGTTAACTGAGAAGTATTCCGTTTAACAATGCCCGGATATTCAAATCGTGAGTAGGCAGATATGATTTATGCATATGGCCGCACATATGGTAATGGACGCGAGGTTACACGGCTGCATCAGATTGCCTTTCCAGACCAAAGGCAGCCGAGTCGTCCAACCTTTTTTGCTATTTATCGTTGCGTTACTGAGGCGGGATCTGTGGCACCACAATCTATGGATTGAGGAAGACCGAGATCCACTCGTACGCCTGACCACAAAGAACACATTCTACAGAGGCTGTCGGAGACGATCCAAGCATCAGCACACGTCAAATGGCCCTAGCATGTCGTACATCTCATAGAACTACATGGAGGGTACTCTAAGAGCAGGAAGGAATGAGAGGAGAGGAGAGTAATGGGAGAGGCTAGGAAGATTGGGGAGGGGAAATGAGTAAAGACAAGGAGACGGGAGTTAAAAAGGAAGTAATAGGAAAGGATGGAAGGAATGGAGAGGAAGGAAGGAAAGAAAGGAAGGGGAGGAAGGGGAGGAGAGCAATGGGAGATGATGGGAGGAAGGGGAGGAGAAACGGGTAAAGACAAGAAGGTAGGAAGGAAAGAAAGGGAAAAGACGGGAAGAGGTAGAAAAGGAAAGGAATAGAAGATAGAAGAAATGGAGAGAGGAGATGGAGATAAGAAAGAAAGAAAGAAAGAAAGAAAGAAAGAAAGAAAGAAAGAAAGAAAGAAAGAAAGAAAGAAAGAAATGACGGACAGGAAAAGAAAGAAAGAAAGAAAGAAAGAAAGAAAGAAAGAAAGAAAGAAAAGAAAGAAATGACGGTCGGGAAAAGAAAGAAAGAAAGAAAGAAAGAAAGAAAGAAAGAAAGAAAGAAATAAATAAATAAATAAATAAAGAAAGAAAGATGATGAACACGAGAGAATGGAAAAAAAATTCAAAGGAGAGTAAAGGTAAAAAAAAGGGAGAGGAAAGCTTTTTGTCACAGACAACTTGAGACACTTTCACTTTCCGTATAAAAAAAAAACATTTGAGATTATTCATATATTTTCCATATTTTCCATGTCGATCGAAGAAAAATGATAAAGAATAGAATCGGCAATAGAAAGAAGAAAGAATTCTTTCCAACATCAACAGGATAAAAATAAATCCACTTTCTTAGCATTCTTATCAGACAGAAGGAATTTAATCTTCAAAACCAATTATTAATGTTTTTCTCTTTTTTATTGAAATTAAACCGGCAGCTGTTTCGGCGATTAGAAACGAATAAAAATATAACATACCATCAAATATTCTCTTAACTCAGCCAAATAGAAATGCAATCGAGGACTCAGCGGGAGAAGCGCTTATGATAAAATCAATGGCGCTCATAATGTCTCAACAAAGTGCACATGACCGTTATCCATCAATGGCCGTACAAGATTTTTTTAATTCATTCATAAACAAATCTATATGAATTTCAATATTTTCAATATATTGCTATATTTTAATGATATTCTCGATTGTATACTTTCTTCTCAAAGGCACATTAATGCGACATCAAGTCAAATGAAATAGAAAGGAAAGAAGGGTCTGTCTATATCTCCTGCTAATTTCCCTCTGAAAGTTCTCCACTGCCTTAACCGGGTATTGAACTCACACTCAGGAGATAACTGACATCCATCAAACATGTCACGTGGAACTAGAACAGTCTATCCCAGTGAGCGAAATAAAGGGTTCAGTTCGAAATTCCAACCACCTGAAGAAGGCCGGAGCGTACAACGGCCGAAACGTTGTGATAAATATGGCGACAAAAATGAGGACAATAGTCCGAATAATTTAAATAATGTAAGGAAAGAAGGTTTGGAAAATTTGATACCCACAGGGCACATTGAAGGCAAGAAGTAAAACCTGTCTAGCGAGCTTGAGTAAATGGATGTCGGAACGGGGTTTACGAGAGATAACAGAAATGACAAAATTTAGTATGAGCTACAAAAAGAGGAAATTGTGGAGAGTCATGATCGCCAACACCCTGAAGAAACACGGCACATAAAAGAACAAATTTGAGTAAATGGGTGGCGGATCAGGGTTACAAAGGTCATGAAATTATGGAGACTGTGCGAATATTAACAACAACAACAATAATAATAATAATAATAATAATAATAATATGCTATGGGCTGAATAGCAGAACAGACTGGGTTGGTAACCAGTCAACCACTGAAAAAAAAACCAAAAAAAACGGCAGCCTACTGCGGGAAAATTATCTGCCTCGTCAGTCATTAATTGAAAGAGAGATGATCACCCAAGTTGATTGATATAAGATTGGGACATACAGGCAATATTTCTTATTCGATTTCTTATTCAAAACGATAAAAATGAAAAAAAAAAAACTGAGAAAAGTATGAATTCATCTCTTCTACTTCTCCGGCTACTGGTTAAAATAGATGCGATGTTCTGGAATCAATGTTTCTCAGGAAGAAAGTGATTTTTTTTTTAACTCAAACATCGATAAATAAATAAAATAGTCTGCAGTTTCGCGTTTGTCTTATTATTTAGCAAATAGTATCAGGTATATATGGATCTTTCGGTAGCCCGGTTGAGTTAAGGATAGCGGCTCGGATTGAGTAATCAGAGAGCTGAGTTCGAATTCTGGTTGAATCCAATATATTCACTTACGTGCTACTACCCTTGAGAAAGTTATGAATCCTCTTCTTCCCCACCCCCTGCTATGGGAAAAATAGCAGGATAAACCGGGTTCTATAGCCCTGGATGGCAACTGGTCTACCGCAGAAAGACTTGTAATAATTCAATCAAAGAATTTCTCTTACAACATTTTCTTTTAAATCAGCGTTTGTCACTATGCGGATGACCTGAATTGTTAACGGTTTAAGCACAAAAGCAAAAATTTATTTCGGACAAACACAATTATTTCCCTTAGATTTTAAATCCCTGATGATGATAGTGTAAAATATCGAAAGTACCCGGAAAAATTAATAATGACTAAATATAACCACAGTACCTTTACTTTTACGTTACATAGAAATCATCGCATTTTGTCATTCAAAATATCATTCAAGGGTCGTCTGGAAAGTGCTTAGGTTGCCCAAGATACTTTTATGGAATGTAAACAAATGAGGTTTATTTATTTTTCAACAATCCACACTCTTCTTCCATCGTTGTTGCAGTCCTTGGATCCCATCGATGAAGAAACTTTCATCCCCTTGGTCAAAAAAGTCATTAACATTAGATATGGCGTCATCATTACTGCCATACCGATTCCCAGCCAAGTGTTTTTTTTGTTTGTTTTTTTATGTATTTATTTGAGGAACTGATGATATTCAGATATGAATGATCAACCAGCAGTCATTAAAACTTGAGACTTGTGTGCTGGTGTATAGTCCTAATGAAAAAAACACTTTCGGCAATTTTTCTGCATGATTGGTTTTGATAGCCTTTTGTAACTCCCTCATCAGTATAGCTCTCTCCATTGGTGATGTAGCCCTTTTGAAGATAGTCAGTAAGCACAGTGCTTTTTCTCCCCCCACCAAAAAAAAAAAAAACTGAGGCCATATTTTGAAGCAGGTGAGAAGGAGTGTTTCCACTTCGTGAATTGTCTTTTTGTCACTGGCTCAAAGTGATGACCCCAACGTTCGATTAAACAAACTAGATATGCCTCAAACAATGTCTGATTTTTCCCTGATGTAATTAGCCTGGTGCTCTTTTGATCAGGTGTCAGAAGACATTGAATCCACCAAACCTTCGTATTGTCGAGTTCAATTTACAGAATATTCTCAACTTTCTTATGGGATATGCTAATAGCACTGAGCTATTGGATTTATAGCCAATCATCTGTCATCGATCACCATGTGGTGAACACGGTCAACGTTTTTCTCAGCGGTGGTAATTGCAAGATGTCCAGATCTTGGATCAATTTCCCCTCTTAACTTCATCTGCACTCTTGATAAAACTGGGGTATCATCCCCTAATTTACCAACCATCTCAAAATGAATGTCCTTTGAGGCTAAACCCTTTTTCTACATCTACCTCATAATCTACATCTACCTTATAATCTACATCTACCTCATAATACTACGGTGCCAAATTTCGTTCATTTTCAAGAGTAGTCGCTACCAGATATTTTTTAAGTCTTCTTTGAATAGTCAGATGCCAGTTTACTGAGGAGAGAAATGCAGTTATTAATAAAAAGAGTTGAAATTAATGGTTATAAGATTTCACAACTCTAGTCGTCGCTCCGGCATTTTCGCCCTATAAACATTTTAGCCAACCGTTGTATATATATATATATATATATATATATATATAGTGAGTGTCACCTCTTGCATAACGTTCAGTGGTGGTAGCACCTGTTAGGGTTCCATCTATGGATAAAAATTGAACCCCCAAAAGGGCTTAAAACACTACGATTTTATAGTAAAAACTTTCACCAATATATTTTAATAGTAAAAAAAAAAATATGAAGCAATAGATTTTAATAGTAAAAAACTGTTTCCAGCAATAGATTTTCATAGTAAAAAAAAATGTATTTTCAGCAATAGATTTTAATAGTAATATTTTTTTTACCAAAGCTTGGAGCTTTGGTTAAAAATTTAAAAAACATTAAAATTAAATTTCGACATTAAATGACCCATAAGGAGTTGATATGCCGTTAAACTAACCTAACCAAACCAAAACCTCTTGGATAAATATGACCGTTTCTACATTTTTAGATTGGGCGATAGCTAGCTCGTAAATGACACAAAAGATAAGCTATATATATGTGAATATGCTTGCGTGTTTATACATATATACATACACGCAAACACAAACAAACATATATATATATATATATATATATATATATATATATAAAGATACATATTCAATTTCTGTACCTTTTCATAAACACTTTTCAATTGCTGACATTGCAACTGCTGTGACTCCGACGACATTATTTCAGATATATTCCATCATTCCATCATTCCATATAAATTCTGCAATTTTCATTGGAAGAGAAAATAACTTCCTTAATGAGAATTGATAGCTAAATTGAAATCAACCTTACGCCGATGGCAAATGTACTTCAGTCACCATCTTTATTTACGATTTAATTACTGCCAACTCATTTAACATGCAATTAAAATCTTCTTTTCTTGTTATTTAGCTTTTAATTTTTTATTAGCCCGTACCCTACTACGTGTGAAATATTTAAATGATATCCGGGGGGCAAAAAGCAATTTCTTTAACTGATCAGATATTAATTTTCCTCTTATGCAGCCTTCTCCTTCGTGGATAACACACACCTCTAATTTTATAAAGAATATTTAGAAAAAATATTAAATCCCCTATAATGTCCATGAAGGTTATGGCTCTCTCTCCTTACTGGGGATTTTGATTCAAGATTGTAGGTTATTTTTTTAGTGAACTACTTAAGCAAAACTTTCAACTAACCTTCTACATATTCTTTTACTAAAAACACCTCATATAGGGCTCAAGAATTACTCAAGGTAGAGGGTTACAGTAAAAAAAGGTAATGATGAATGAGTTGTGTGATATGAAAAGGTGGTAGAAAGTGAAGATTTATAGGTTAAAGGGCATAGATAACGATTGACCTTTGACTTGAAAAGGTCAAGATTGAAGTTTTGATGGAAGCATTCACACAGGTGCCTGTTTTACAAAGTGACAGTCCGTTGGAAAATCTCTTTGAGTGGAACTCTATTTTTACATTTGAAATGCAGGGGAAATGAGGATGATCCAACTCCGTGGAAGTGGTATGGCCTGTCCTATCTTCACTTATAAGTAAGCTGCTTTAGCTTATTTGTTTGGAGTTTCTGGATTTCGTTTATTTTGTTTTACGCCATATCAACCTTTAATACCGACAATATTTTTAGGATAGATTCGTATGAATAAAATGTGTATTATTTGTAAGAAATCAGTTTGTAGATCAGGTTTCATTGAGGTATTTTCGTAAAGAGGCTTTTTGTCGAGAGTCAAAT